ATAATTGGAAAAACCCAGGGGTGTGTGTGGGGGGGGTGGTGTACAGGGGAAGAAAGAGTTAACTCTGTCAGCATGTCAGAGGAGGCTCTCCAGAGAAGGGGTGACCACCACAGGGTTTGAAGATTTGAATAGAAAGGGGAGGGGATGGAGAGAATTTTCCAGAAAAATGCAAAAAGGCAGAAGACCACTGGGCAAGTTGAGATGATGACAAGGGATTTGGATTTGCTGGTGAGCCAATGGTGAGGTGGAGTGGGGAGGCCGGGAGGATGAGCAGCTGCTGCTCAGGACCCAGAACAGCCTCTGTGCTGTGCTCAGGAGCAAGGACATCATCTCATGGGCACCAGAGCCACTGAAGGGTATGTGAAAAGCAGAGGAACTAGTGTGTCTGGGCAGAGAATGACCCAGAGGAGAAAAGACTAGAAACGGAGAAGGCATTAAAAAGTGATCTACCGGGGCCAGCCCCAGGGCCGAGTGGTTAAAGTTCCACGTGCTCCACGTTGGCCTCCCAGCCTTGCTGGTTTGGATCCCGGACGCGGACCTGCACCACTCGTCACCCATGCTGTGGCAGCATCCCATATACAAAATAGAGGAAGACTGGCACAGGTGTTAGCTCAGGGCCAATCTTCTCAGCACCAAAAAAGAAAAAACTGATCTACCAATCCAGACAATGCTGATTTGGGCCAGAAGCAAGGTGGTGGTCATGGAGGTGGAGAGAGGAGGTGACAGATGGGAGACACAGCAGAAGAGGGAAGAAAAGGGGCCAGCTGCTCCTAGTCAGGAGATTAGGGAGCAAGACAGTCGGGGTGCCTCCCAGATATGGAGTTATCAGGGGGATGACATCCCACTGAGCATGAGTAGGCCTAGGACAGATGAAGAAGATGAACTTGGCCTTGAACAAACTGGGTGTGCTGTTGCCTACACCTGTTAGAAGCTCCAGGGACATCTGGGCTCCAGAATCCATCATTTTAGAGGCAAAAAGCCACAGGCATGAATGTGAGCGTAACTGAGAGTTGGGAGGTAGCAGCTGTGGCTGGATAGGAGTGTGTTTGCAATTATGAACAAGTACTAGAAATTGTCACAGACCAAGAGGAGCCTAAGGGGACATGACAACTAAATGTCACATGGAATCCTGGAACAGAAAAAGGACACTAGATAAAAACTAAGGAAATCTGAATAAAGAATGGGCTTTAATTTAATAATAATATGTCAATATTGATTCATTAAGTGTGGCAAACGGACATCCTAATGTAAGATGTTAATAACAGGAGAAACGGGGGGTGGGAGAACCTGCTGTACTCTCTTTGCAACTTTGCTGTAAATCTAAAACTATCTGAAAATAAAAAGTGTTTTTTTTTAAAAAGTATTAGGCTTGGTAAGAATTCTATTATGTTCTTAAATCAGAGAAACGTAACTGGCATGTTTTCTCTGATGAGCGAAGAAGCCTTTATGTTCTCGGTGACTGCCGAGCGTGGTTCCCTTGGAGATCTCGCCCGGAGTGGCGGGCCTGGAGGAGCACGTTCCCTCCGGTGCCTCTTTATGGAGTGAGTCACGCTGTGAATCATCTCTAACAATATGCTGCTCCCTGAGTCTTCCCCACCTTAAGGGCATATCAAGGTGGCAGTAATAACACGCTTCACATCCAACATAATCCTTCTTCTCGACTTGTCAACGTCGAAGTGCACCTCCTGTCAAAAAGAACTGCTTCACTTTAGAACAGATCAACGATGCACTTGGAAACATGGACGTCATCTCACGTCACCCTGAACGAGGGTTGTGATTGACATCTGGAGCGGGACACTTCACTCTGGGTGACATATAGTTTCCCTGGCCCCCAGGCATTGTGATGGCCAAAAACCACCACCATATGTTTCCAAACATGCCCAACTCCCGCCCCCACCCCCCCAACCCCCAGGATCAGTAAACTAACCCCTTAGGCCTGTGACATTAGAATGAGAGGAGAGCACTGAAAAATGTGAAGGAAGTAGGAAAACAGACAGACTAAAAAGAAGTTAACTATCTACACCTGTGATAAACTTGTAGCGAACTAAATCCATATACACGCATAAGACTGGGAATTCTAAAGGTGGGTGGATTGTAGCCACATCGACATCGTGACTGTGATATCATCCTTTATACCTGCAAGATGTTACCTTTGGGGGAAATACAGGATCTCTCTGTATTGTTTCTTACAACTTCATGTGAATCTACAATTATCTCAATAAAATTTTCAATTTAAAAAAAATTGGGGGGGGCCGGCCCAGTGGCATAGTGGTTAAATTCACGAGCTCCACTTTGCAGCCCAGGGTTCACAGGTCCGGATCCTGGGTGCGGACCTACGCACCGTTTGTCAAGCCATGCTGTGGTAGGCGTCCCACGTATAAAGCAGAGGAAGATGGGCACTGATGTTAGCTCAGGGCCAATCTTCCTCACCAAACAACAAAAAAAGAGAAAGAACTTAAGGGCAGCCATTGTCAAATCATAAATGTTAATCCCACCTCTGACCCTCCAAACTCTCATGCACTTATTCAGCATCAGAAAGGGAGCAAACGTCTGGTTATCGATTCATGGAAACCAGAGTTCAAGTCTTCAACTCTGACTAGCTGTGTGACCTTGGGTAAGGTACATAAACTCTCTGAACTGCGGTTTCCTCATCTAACAAATGGGAAAGACGGGAGTGACTGACGAGCAGGGTGGGAGTGATTAGGTGTAATGTGTAAAGGGCCTGGTGCAAGGCAGGTGCTCAGTAAGTAGCAGGGGTCCCTGCTTCTCCAGCCCTTTGGTTGCTGGTTGCAGAACTTTGTCCCAAGTCCTCAGCCACCACTTGCTACATGCAGCATCCTCATCTCCTTTGTACGCTGTTTCTTCTGTCGCACCTACCTGGAAAACCGTGGGCCGCACGTCCGACCTGTGCACGGACATCCTGCCTCCTGACACTAGGGTCTGCGCGCGGCAGACACACCACCACTCGTGTGCAGATGCAGCCGAAGCGAGGTTCCACATCCCGGTCGGGGGCGGCCGGCTGCTCACTTCCTGCTCCCACCCCCACGCCCTCCCCTGGGTGGCCAGCTGCCGCCGTAAACTAGCCAGCACCTGGAAGTCTGCCACTCGGGAGTTTTGGTACCAAAGTATCCTGGAGGGCAAGGGCTGTTCTGACCTCTGGTCTCCAGGGATTGGCCTTCCAGTTTTTCTCTCTGGCTCTCCCATCCACACAGTTCCAAACGTCGGGCCTATTAACATCCACCCTGACTTAGGATGTCCAGGGGTCAGGCGATGCAGGAATCAGCTGGGGGATCCTCTCACTGGGTACTGCCCGGCAGACTCCCAGGTCCCGGGCTCACCCAGGATCTCCAGCAGGAGCCAACCTCAGCCGGCCTGTGGGCTTAGGGGAAGGTGGGGGGACGGGAAGGGCTCAGATCCCCAGAGGAGCATGCTGCCCTGATCATCCCTTTCCTGAGTATCCTGAGACAGAGGTGTGGGCTGGAGTGGTAATGTGCTGTTCCCTGAGCACAGGAGAAAAAACAAAGGGGAAATTGTGTCTGACCCTGCAAACCCAAAGCCAAAAGCCCAGTCTTCTGCCCATACTATTAATTACTATTATTATTATTAGTCCTCCTCCAGAAATGAATCTTCCTCCCTGTCAATGTTAGAATGCCTCAAACTCAACATGTGAGTCCACACCTTGCTTTGTAGATGTGGGATCCTGTCCAAGGGTCCCAAGTGGAGCCTCTGGTCGAAATCCCAGTCCCCAGGACACAAAGCAGCCTGGAGTCCTGCTGAGCAACCCCAGACGTGGGAGCCTTCATGGGCATGGAACCCACGCTGCTGTCCAGCCCTCTGCCACAGCTCTTAGTCCTGGAGACCTGACCCAAGTGTCCACCCCACACATGATGTCTCCCATCCACCCTCCTGCCTCCTGTGAGTGGGTTGAACTGTGCAGAACTCTCCAAATCCCTTTAATCCTGCTCCCTTGAAGCATGGACCAGAGCCTCCACATCCCCCAAGCCCTTCCGTGGCCACCGATAGAGCCGTTCAGTCTCTCTGCCCTCAGTAGCAGGCCCCCAGACTGGTGGGTACCACGGGCCAGGAAGGGGACTCCATGGAGTCCGTTATTGCTCCTCCCGTGCAGCTCCACTTTCCTCCCTGACACAGAGCATCCTCTCCCTCAACCCTTCTACACCCAGTCTCACTGAAGACACTCTAAACAAGAAGCCCGTCTGCTCACAATGAACCCCCTCTTCTAGGACAACCCATTCCTAGGACTGGGCTCTGCCATTGCTGGCCACAGGGCATTGATCCACCTGACCAAAGCTGGACCAGATTCTCCTTCCCAGGAACCGCACACGGGAACCAGAGACGCCAAGACTGGGAGCATTTGGTGTTGACCCACCACTTCGGGCGAATGGCTGCCCCAAAGGGCCAGACGCGGAGCTCTTGGGTGGGGACCCCTGGAGCTTCTCTGATTTCTGCTCACCCCAGGCTTCAAGGCTCAGATTCTACCCTTAATTCAGTTCTCTGAGACACTCCACAGTCCTTCTGATGAATTCCTTTTTTCCCCTTAAACTAGCCAAATCTGATTTCATTGCTGGTAACCTCAGAGCTCAAACAGGGACTTGGACCCAAAAGTTGAATCAGCGGTAAAGAGTGTTTTTGCCCACATTTGTCCTCTGCCCTGTTTATCTCAGGGGGCTCTTTGGGGGCCCTGGAGCTAGGATTGGTCAGGTCATGAGAAACATTGCCCTTTCCTAATATGTTTCCAGGAAAACAGCTTACCCTGGGACCCGTGGACAAAGCCCTGGGCACAGCAGGCCCTACCGGGAGGGCACATTGATTTCGGGATGGGCCAGTGCTGAGCCGCCTGTGGAAGCCTAGCCTCCTTCCTAGATGCCGTCCTCCCCTGGCCCCGAGGTTCAGGGACCATAAAGGCTGCAGCTTCTGTGTTGATGACATCACTCAGCCTCCCCAACAAGTCAGCCTGACTCACAACCAGGGCAGAACAGACAAACTTTATTTCTGTGAAGAAGACTCACACTTTGGTATTTAGCGTAACTAAAGTGCTATCTGTGGAGCGTGGCTCATGCTGCTAACTACCTCGTTTCCCCGCCGGCCGACCTCTTCACTCATCCACAGCCGCCTCATGGTGTTTCTTCCTTTCCTCCATTTCTCCTGCGTCTTTCAGATTTTGGCGAGCAAACTCCTCAAAAACCAAATTTTCATCTTGAAAACTAAAATAAAACAAAGAGCATTGTGATCACGGCACACTCGGTAAAGCTCCCAATGAAATCTCCAGTGAAATAAGATCCTTGATCTTCCTTTTTGCAGCAAAGGAACTGATCAAAATTTTCCTACATGAGGAAACATGGGACCACGCCATTCTCCTCCTAGCTTTTCATGTATAATCTCTTTAACAACCAAAAATAAGAGAAAATGAAGGAACCCACAGAGCAGACACACATATTCAGTATAACCGCATGTGCATGTGTGTGTGTGTGTGTGTGTGTGCGCGCGCATACCTTAGTACTAGGGAGAAAAAGGAAAACCAGGACTGAGCAGTGTTGAGAGCATGGGCTGTGTAAAAAAGACCCAAAAAGGGGTTTGTGTGGAGGTGGAAGTCCCAGAACACAGGGAAACTCAGAGCAGTGGCTCACCTTTCCTTTGCTGTAGCTGTAAGCATGGAATAAAGGAGAGAGAGATCTGTTAGCATAAATTCTGTGCAATAGCTGTACCTGGAAAATTTCTTCCTTGTTTAGGTGACTTTAGAGTTGGAGGGATAACAGGCCTAGATACATGCATTTCATGATAATTGCATGTAATTCTTGCTTCTTTGCCTTTTCCCACTCCGAGAGCCTCTCTCCCTGCATTTTTTTTTTTTTTTGTGAGGAAGATCAGCCCTGAGCTAACATCCATGCCAATCCTCCTCTGTTTGCTGAGGAAGACTGGCCCTGGGCTAACATCTGTGCCCATCTTCCTCCACTTTATGTGGGACACCGCCACAGCATGGCCTGACAAGTGGTGCGTCGGTGTGCTCCCAGGATCCGAACCTGAGAACCCCAGGCCGCTGAAGCAGAGTGTGTGCACTTAACCGCTATACCACGGGTCCGGCCCCTCTCCCTATTTTTAACCATAGCCTCCTTTATCAAGTGGCACGACCTCACCTCTGGGACCCTTTCCCTGGTCAGCCTCTTCCCCTCTGATGTCACACTTCTCTTTTCACTCCCCTTGTCTCTCTCACCTACCTGGAAGCCAGCACTGGGAGGTGCATCCCCTGGGCCAGAGCCCTCCTGGACCCCAACAGTGCTGAGCATAAAATTATACTAAATGGGACCAGCAGCCTTGAAAAGAATCAATTCAACACCCTGCATTCCGTGTGGATGCTCTTGACAGGGGATGGATGATAAAAACTTGGTAGCATTTCTACAGCACTTGTTATGCACAAATTACTTGGCCCCTGGCCCTGGTAGGGCTTCTTAACTACAACTTATGCTTTCTCTGCTTAGAGTCTACACTTTCTCTGCTTAGAGTCTACGTGTCTAGACTCGGGGTGCCGGGAACTAGGCAGGTAAGATGTAAGCATGAATCTGTGAATGAAACTGGTGACTCATAAATCTCTGGACATCAGAATTTCGAGGCTATGGGGCGACCTGTTCTTTCTCCTTGAAATCTCACAGTACCAAAGATCACTGTTTAGTCTTGACGTTGTGATGTGTTCAATGTAAGGGCCACGACAACTGGTACCTGAAAATGTCATACTCAGAAAAAGAACGACTCCACTTCCCCCAAGTTAAGTCACAAAGTTTGTTCACAGCTCCAGAAAACAATCTGACATCAACTATGCCATCTCCTCAGGTCACGGTTTTAAAACATCCTTTTAAAATGTCCTTGAAAGGGACCAGAATGCATCTCGATCTCACATAGTTAAAAAATAGTATTTTAATGATATAAGCATAAATGAATAAAAATGAATATGGCCAGACTGTATTTTTTCCCCAAGGGAAGGTTTTGGCAAAGTACGTTGTGTATTTGAATCCAAAATATTTGGAAAAGATACTTTGAGACAAAATGTTTTTGAGACAAACCCAAAATGAATATGGGGGCACATTCTAATATGTTTAAATGCCATTTCATTATCAATATAGAAAAGCTGTTTATAAAGTATAAGAAAAATACACCTTGCTTGTTTATACCACTTTTACTTAAAACATTCTTATTACTATAACTATGGCAAGTTCTCGTTGAGACAAGTCCATCTTTCTTTCCTGCCGACTAAGCCTCCTTTAACACACAGTGGAAAGCTTTTCCTCTGAATTTCTGAGATTGCACCTACATTATTTTTGCTGCTCTATTTATCTCTTTTAAAAGAGCTATATTGAGATCTAATTTACATCCCATACAATTCACCTACGTACATGCACAGTCCAGTGGTTTTAGCTCAAACACAGAGTCGCAGAACCCTTGCTTCATTTGCTTTTAACATCCGTGCAGGAGCCAGTGGATTTACAATTCAAAGGAGCCAAGGTGTCAGGAACCCAGCCTGACCCTCTTTTCTAGCATTTTCTGTATTCTCGTCACAATCGCCACTGTCAAAAAGACTTATCATCCTCTAAATGCCTGTTAATGTTTCCAAATGAAATGCAAAAGCTCAGGATCTCAAATTTACTTTTCACCTAAATTTTCCTTAAATCGAAATCCAAGTCTGTTCACGGCGGAGCTTCTGCTTTTAAATCATTCTTGGTAAAGCCGAATGAGATCGTTTGTGTCCAAGAGCAGGGATGCTATGTCCTCCACACATTATCTGAAGGTGGACCAGCCACCTGGCTCATGACTGAGTGGATGGGCACTCCTTCCTGGGCCGGACCAGCCACTTTGAAGATGACAAAGCATCTCGTACACCTGGCCATGCTCATGCTCAGAGATGTGGTCAAGAAAGACTAGCAATGAGTAAACAATGAATCTGCAAGTGCTAGATACTAGAGAAAGCCAAGACAACACGTGACTGACCTGGGTCCTCGGGCTGGGGGTGCATGAGGCGGAACGGCACCTCGGTGGCCACTTCACTAGAAAAATGAAGAATGCAGATCGGTGAGAACACACACCAATTATAAATCACCCAGCAATGAGCGGTGGCTGCAGAGATTCCCAAAAGATCCCTGGGCCCAAGCTGAAAGAGGATTCAGTGAGATTCAAAACAAAACAAACCAGAGATCAGGAAGTGGTCAAGTAGGAATTTTAAGTGTATTCCCTGGAATGTGGTCCAGAAACTTCACTTAGGCCTGGCCAGGGCTGCTAGGATTTTTAGGCTCCCCTTCCTCCTGATTATTAGTTTTAGGGACGTAGTATTATGGGCAGAGGAGAGGTGAAATCCTGGAGAAAGGATAGTTTTGAAAAATATCCTTTGCAAAAATGTCCACTATTTTTTATACGTTAAATCTCTGTAAGGCTGGTGTCTTGGGGGCCAGGCACACAGTCTCTTGCTAGAGAGCAGAACAGAGATGAACAGAGTCTGCCAAATTCCAGAAGCTAAAGGGCTTTGGGGCAGCTTGGAATTTATACAAAAAGAAGGAAGGAAAGGAGTCAGGAAGGAAAGCAGAAGGGAAATCTGGACAAAGGAAGATTGGAAAGGTGAGGGATGAAAACACAAGGGTTGTTCCTCACTTCACCCAGCAACCCCTGCCTCCTGCCCCAGGGTTATGGCTTTGGTCAAACCAACTGTGTTTACAAGGCCACTCCCATCAGACCCCGGTGCAGACAGTGTCTAAGAGGAAAGGTGTCCCCTGGTTTTAAAAGGATTTAAAAAGGAGCTGTCACTATTCACAACAGCCAAAAGGTGGAAACAACCTAAATGTCCACTAACTGGTGAATGGATAAACAAAATGTGGTGTATCCATACAATGGAATATTACTCAGCCATAAAAAGGAATGAAGTTCTCACACATGCTACAACATGGACGAACCTTGAAAACTTTATGCTGAGTGAAAGAAGGGGGTCACAAAAGGACAAATATCATCTGATTCCATTTATACTAAATATCCACAATAGGCAAATGATAGAGACAGAAAGCAGATAGGGGTTTCAGGGACTAGGGAGAGGGGAGAATGGGAGAGACCACTTAATAGGTACAGGGTTTCTTTTTGGGGTGGTAAAAATGTACAGGAGCAGAGAGTGGTGATGGTTACACAACATTGTAAATGTACTTGATGCCACTGAATTGTATGCTTGGAAATGGTTAAAATGGTAAACTTCATGTTATGTATATTCTACCACATACACACACACACACAAAGGTGGTTGCCTGGAATGTGCCTGTTTTCTGACTGTGTGTGTCTTTGCCCAGGTGTAGGCCCAGCTGTGGTCTCAAAAAAACATCCTAGCCTCACACCGATCAGCTAAGGTTTGCGTGATGCATCCGAAAGGCAGTGGCCATCGTTTCATAACACCTATGAGCAAAACTGCTGGGGAACCAGGTTTCACGGCGACTGTTTTGAACCCCAGGTTCATTCTCTTGATCTCCTGGGAATCAAGCAGAGAAGGAAGGTGACGAGGCTTACCTGGAGGTGAGCTCTCCCAGAAAGCTAGAAAACACAAAAGCAAACAGCGCTGTGGTGACCGTCCACAGTGGTGACATGACCTCATTTCCCATCATTCTGAGGTGGGAAATGAGGTCCAGTCATGACCCTCAGTCACAACGTTCAAGATCTTTGCATCCCTTAATATTTAACTCAGCTATTCCTTTCTACTTGTGATTTCATCTCTTTCTCAAGTGGATTAGTTAAAAAGAGGAATCACTTAAGTTCAGGCCCTAATGTTCAAGAATAAACCACAGACCAGAATTTTTCTCATGGCCACAAAGGTCATTGTGAAATACCTGTTATTCACTTAGCTTGACCACTGAAAGAAACTCTACTGTTTTAGATTCTCTCAGAGAAAATGAAAGAAAACACTATGCACTTTGAAAAACACGACAAATACAAACACTGTGTTAACAAAATGTGCAAAATCAACCCATGTTCTACTTTGTTGCCCCAACCAAAACTGGGGAACTCTTTATCTACTTAGAATTATGGAGTATACGCATGGACTTGCCTGTGACAGCTGAACTGCCCAAGGCTCATCAAGGTAAAAGGCCAGAGCCTTTGGCAATGGAATTTGAAAAAGAAAGTGAGAATTCAAGTTTTTCCCTTTTGATGAGATTTTAAAGATGGAAGAAAGTCATTTCATAAAAAAATGGAAAACCATTTCCTCAGAACTCTGAGATATCTGTGCTCTCGAATGAAAGTAGACTCCCAGATCCTGTGATTACACGTTGGGAAGGGAAGGAAAGGTCTCCCATTATGGATGGATGCCTCCTAAGAGGCACATGAATGAAGAGGTACCAAGAATTCATTTGATATCTGTCATTTTCTGAAGTTCGATATAACGCTAAACTGATTTTTCTTTTTTGCATATCAGCTTCCACCATGTGAGCATATGCACACCCATTTTTGCCAAGTTGTACTAGTAGTGCACGTATTTCATAGTCTACTTTTCTACCTTTTTCCATGTGATGTTATACCCGATAGAATTGTGAAACTAGACAAATAGAGCCTCCCTAAAACTCTCCTTGGTAATCTGTAGAATTTGTGGACCTTTCTTGCTTTCTGTCTCCCAATCATACAGGAAAGGAACAATTCAGACTGCCTAAGGCCAAGACAGAGCATTGGAACTCAGACACTCACCCTGACACCATGAGCTTCACCTTGATCTGGTAGGACACCAGGATCCCCAGGACGGTCCGGTCTATGCCCTCCTTCACGCTGCCCAAACAGAAAGGAAAAGCAGAAGATTACAAGGGAGCAGCGGAAAGCCAAGACTGGATGAACCAACCCCTCATCTCCATGCCATCATCAGTTCTCGGGGAATTGGTGAACTCAACCAAGCCATCAAAGTCCTAGAACTTTCCATACTCAGGGCAGGGGGGATTCCTTTCCTGCATTGTAGCTTGGCGTTTTCCCCTCTGGAAGTTCAGAGGGCAGTGTGCTTCCAGTTCTCCTCACTCTGCCCCTGTTGATGCTCATCCACCTGCTTATCAGCCAGAAACTGTCCTCCTCGGCTCCTGCCTCTGCCCCATCTGCATCTCTGGCTGACCACTGAGTCCTCCACTGGCTTTTCCTGCCTGGATGATCCCAGTAAATTACCTCCCACATGCCGGGCTCCTTCTCTGAGCTCTCTGCCGCTCTGCAGCCAGAGAGATCTTCCACGGTCAAACCTTAGCATGGCCCGGGAGGCAATCTTGAGCTGGCCCCTGCCTGCTTTTGCTGCCTGACACCCTGCTGTGCCCTAGCATCCCCTGTGTGCCAACCTTGCAAACACAAACCTGCCCTGGAATGGCCCCCTCCTCCTCCTCTGCCCTCCAAGAGCTCAAGTTGAAGTTGATCCTCCTGTGTGAAGCCTCCTGGACACCTGCCAGGCAGCGCGGGTCTCCCTCCTTGGCGCCCTGGCTCTGCATCCCCAGCACCCAGCATCGTGTTGAAGTGAATGAACGCAGCGCGTGAGGTCCTCAAATGTGCCGCAAAGAGACTACAGTCTAACTTCTCTCAACAGAAACTTCTTTCCAGATTCCATTAGCATGTGTTGAGTTCTATCTAACAGGCACCATGCTGGGCTTTTTTTTTTTTTTTGGTGAGAGAGATTGGCCCTGTGCTAACATCTGTTGCCAATCTTGCTCTTTTTCTTTTTTCTCCCGAAAGCCCCAGTACATAGTGGTGTATCATAGTTGTAGAGTTGTAGCTCTTCTATGTGGGACACCGCCTCAGCATGGCTTGATGAGCAGTGAGTAGGTCCGCACCTGGGATCCGAACCAGTGAGCCCAGGCTGCTGAAGCGGAATGGGCGAACTTAACCACTGTGCCACCGAGCCGGCCCCAAGGACATTTTATTGATTTATCTATTTATTTTCTTTTTTTCTTTGTTTTTCTTTTTTATTTTTTTAAAAAATTTTTTGTGAGGAAGATCAGCCCTGAGCTAACATCCATGCCAATCCTCCTCTTTTTGCTGAGGAAGATTGGCCTTGAGCTAACATCTGTGCCCATCTTCCTCCACTTTATGTGGGACACCGCCACAGCATGGCCAGACAAGCGATGCATCGGTGCACGCCCGGGATCCGAACCCCGGCCGCCAGCAGCGGAGCACACGCACTTAACCGCTAAGCCATGGGGCCGGCCCCCCAAGGGCATTTTAACACAGATTATTTTATCATGTGATCCAATGTGGGGACATAAATACTTCAGAATATCCAATTACAGGAATTAAGGTATACAAAATATTATGAAATTCTGGGTAAAACAATGTGAATGAGAATAGACGACGTGGCTGACAAGCCTGAAGGCTTGAGATGGAAGGCAGGGCTGTGTTGAGAGGTCTCAGAAGGGTGCTGAGAGGGTGCAAGGTAGGTTCTGGGCCTGGGGCCTGGCTCCCCCCAGCTGGGGGAGCCTTCTCGTGGGAGGCACTTGAACATTGCTTCCAGGACCACAATGGCCCCCAAATAACTCCACTGGCTCATCTGTCGCCGGAGCTCCTTGAAGAGGGCAAAGTGCCTTTATCTGGAATCATGGAATGTGGCCAAGCACTTGGTGGAGAGAGGTGCCACCAAAGGGAAAAGAGGGGATGTAAGCCTCAGAGGCCACCCCTTTGCAGGACTGACTCTCTACCTTATACTGAGTGGAGCCACACAACTCGGGGAAAGACTGTGCTTCATCTCGTGCCTGAGAATACCCTACAAGCTTTCTCCCCTGCCATCTTCCTGGAATGGGAGAGTCTCTCTCTCTCTCTCTCTCTCTCTCTCTCTCTCTCTCTCTCTCTCTCACACACACACACACACACACACACACACACACACACACACAGACGGAGATTGGTTAATCCAGGTTCTGCTGGGCTTGTCAGCTTCTAGGGCCCTGGAAGGCAGCCCTGAAGTTGGCAGTGAACAAAGGACTCAGGGTTAGGAGCGGACCTTGCTCTGCCATTAACTGACCAGTTAACCTTGGCTGAGCCTCTCTTTCTGGCTGAACGTCAATTTCCTCATCCACAAAGCGAGTATAAATTCACCTTCCTCACAAAAGCTTGGAGAGACTCACATGTTGGTAAGATAGTCCATAAACCACAAAGCATTTTTCCAAACGCAGTGTGCCATTGCTGGTGTCACGATTGCTACGCCCTTGACTAAGTTGACCTAGAACATCAGTCTCTCTGTCATTCTTGCTCCCAGAGCTTCACAAATGTGCTTTAGAATCAAACACACCAACTTGGCAAATTATCCTCAGAAAATCCTTTGACTCCCACCATTCTGCTTTCTGCCAAATGTTCGCTGACCCCACTGTTTGTCTCAGAGAACATGTCTGCTGAGCCACAGGGTCATGGAGGTCAAACATGAGAGCCTCTTTCCGATGGCATCACCTTAGAGGTGGTCCACCCGGGCCATGGAGGGGGCCCCGGCGCATCACATGGGGTGGCAGTGAGTGGGCCTCAAGCCCGGGTCACAGCTCCTAGCCCCAACACTCAGAGCTCCCCAACAGACACGTTCCCAGGAATGGAAGCCTCAAAGGACAGCCAAGAGCAGCAGTGGGTATTCGACTTTGAAGCTTCACTCCAGTTTTTGCTAGATCTGCTGGCTACATTTGGCCAGTGGTTCTCTGGGTCGGGATCAGCAGATCAGTGCTTAGTTTCAATTAAATTTAGCTGACATCTGTCGCTGTCAGGACGTCCTGTCTTTCCCTTTCCTGATGGAAATGAATACATGACATTCTCATCACCCGTGTAGCCACTGCAGGCCTCAGTTCATGTGCTTAGGGCACGACACTAGCTGACGATATTTTTAAAAGGTCAGAGCTAACATTTCTGGAGCATGTACTGTGTGCCAGGCACCACCTTTCACATAGATTGTCTCACATAATCCTTATAGCCTCTCTATAGAAAGGAACTGTCTGTTGGTGGCACCTCCACTTTACAGACAGGAAAACTAAGGTTCTCAGACAGCTCAAGGGATTTGCCCAGGGTGGCCGAGCCGGTACGCAGTGGAGCTTGGTTTGGTGCAAGGCTATCTGCTGAGCCCACTGCCGTAACCACCACGTCACACCAGGGGTGGGAGTGGGGTCCCTGCTTGGGCCACTGGTCTGTATTCTGCACTGCAGATGCCAGCTGTCATGCTGCAAGTGCAGGCCGGGGAGCCCGGGAGGTGAGACAAGGAGGGGAGCAGACCAGTGCCGGCCCCGCCCTGAGTCCGGGGGCTCATCTCCTGAGCCACGAGGACTCACATGGTGCTGGAAGCAAGATTCGTGTCCTCGTGCTTGATTTTCCCGTCCAGGGCGATGCCCCTCCTCTCGCGGTTGTTAGCCAGCAAGGGCACCAGCGTCAGTGTCGTGGTCAGAGTGCTGTTTGGTGGCACTTTTTCTCTGCAGGAAGAAAAACAGAGAGGATATTTGTCTGATTGCTCTTATGTCCATAAAGCCACCCTCGATCCTGAGACACTATCTGCCAGCAAGCATTTTCCAGGATCCAAGTTCCCTGCATCTTATGGGAAAGATAGTTCAGGGGCCTGTGCGTTTGCCTTACGAGAAGCAGAACAGTATTAGCGACATCTCAACATAGGCTGGCAGCAACCTTAGGACATTTCCTTAAGTCCTGCTCTAACCACTGAATTTCTAGAATGTTCTGTGGGGTTAAATAAGGCCAACTGGCCCAAGGGTCAGGGACCACACTCAGTCTCCTCCTGAGACTTTGTGAAACCACGCAGTGGGCTGGCCAGTACCAGCAACAAGCCCAGGCTGCAAGTCACTTGTCACCAAAAACTGTCACTATAAGGGGGATCAGTGTGTGCCCAGGGTGGTGGGTTGTCTAGAAGGGCGAGATGGGGTCCTCTGTTTGTGAACCGTACAGACTGCGCTAGTTTGGGTTCAAAGCAGCACACGCTCCTTCTCTCGCAGATCTTCAGCATCAGTCAGGCAGTGGGTTTCAGAGCATCTGACAGACTCAGGGAACCCATGCCAAAGGGTGGGTCTGTGGGTCTGGCCTGGAGCTGCAGACACAGCAATGTTGGTTTCTCCAGGTCTGGCAGCAGACCTTCGGATGATGGACTTTCCTGCAGCAGAGCTTGCTGAAGGCCTGTGCCAAAGCCCTGGGGCCGAAGGCCAGCACCTTCAGGATCTGGGATTGGCTGGTGGACAGCAACTAGGTAGACAGGTCTGACCTGGTTCTGAGGAGGCCTGCCCACAGGAGCCCAGGGAGCCTCGGGGTTCTGGGACAATGGCTCATGCTCTGCAGCCCTCTGAGTGGCTTCTAGTCTGAGACCTGTTAGCATGATCCAGCCTAGCTTTCGGTCTCCCTGCCCCCCACCCTTGGGGGGACCTGAGAATGGTTCCCAGTCTCCTGGGAATCATTTGGTCCAAGATGCACTGAAGAGCTGAAACGAGGACGAGATAATGGGGTGTATTAGGGGAAAACTCAGCCAGGCACCATTTTCCTGTACCATTGTTGACCATATGCCAAAAGGCGAGCCAGGAAGACTCCCGGGACACGATGATGTGCAAGGATGCACCCTAAAAGGTAGAACGTGGGGCTGGCCCAGTGGCGTAGCAGTTAAGTTCGCATGCTCCACTTCAGTGGCCTGGGGTTCACAGGTTCGGATCCCGGGGTGGGGACCTATGCACCATTTATCAAGCTGTGCTGTGGCAGGCATCCCACATATAAAGTAGAGGAAGATGGGCACGGATGTTAGCCCAGGGCCAATCTTCCTCAGCAAAAAAAAAAGGAGGATTGGCAACAGATGTTAGCTCAGGGCTAATATTCCTCACCAAAAAAAGAAAAAGGTAGAATGACCCCAGGCCTGGCGCCAAGGAGGCAGTCATGAGTTATGGTTCTTTCCTGCCTCCGTCCCCTCTGGACCTATATTTAAACTTTGGTCTGGATTGGCTTTGAGTAACAGTTTATCTCGAAGTTGCCTTTTAAATATTATGTAATGTTATCTTGCTGAACCAGTTTGCCTTCCTCTAATGGTGGTAATATTTTTGCATACAACAGTGCTTAGCACACGCCAGCGAGGGAGAGGAAAAGACTCCCAAGTGATCATCTCAGGGGGAAGGCATAACCCCGAGAAGCCTGCGTGTTAGATGACTCTATCTGACTGTCCAGCACAGCAAAACTGGGCGGGTCTCTCATCCCCCATGAAGATGCTGGCACAGGATTCTCATGTGGTTTTGATTCTGATAAAGAGAGAAAAGTCATTCATGACAACGGACTGAGAATGGAGACATCACACTGATCCCGCTGTCATTGGTACAAGACTTTCAAAATGAGGAGATCAAAAGACAGAGACCCCTCACCTGGGCTGACAGATCATTTACTTATCTGCCCGGGGGGCAGAAATAGTATCAAGTTCCTACCAACTGCCTCCAAGGGTAAAGAGAAAGGTCCAGCGGCTCCCACTGTGACATTTCCATCTTTCTGTCTCTCCTCTCCATCCTTCCTTAGCTGGACGGATCTCTCAGAACTCTTGTGAGTGAGGACAGAATTGAGATGCTAACTTTGTTTGGAGCCCTTGAAGCGAGAGAAGGGGAAGGAAGTGAAAAGCTGTGAGCTGGCTGAGCGTTCCACTTCCCTCTTCAGGAAGAACAAAAGGGGAACTTGACAAAGAAGCTTGGACCACCCAGGAAATAGAAACCCAACCAGCTACTCACTGTGTTTCCTCCATGGCCACCGGCTTGACGTAATAATCACTCGAGTAGAGAACTACGTTGGCCACTTGTTCCACTGCAAAGGGACGACACGAGTGGGTGATTCAGTGGGGTCCTCTGCACACGTGCATGGTGCCTTCCAGGCCCGCGGCTGGTCCTTCCTCCCTAATGACCATTTAAGTGTGCTTCTCAGGCTCGGCTTTCTCAGCTCAAAGCTTAAAGGCTGAGATTTCTGAGGCCACTTCCGTCCCTCAGTAACCTGCTCTGTGTCAACTCCCACCCATGAGCCACTGTCCTAAAACTGCACCTCCTGGGAGACCCCTTCTCTCTGCAGAGCCCATGTTATATCCCTTGGCATCCTTCCAAGGCACAGGATCTTCCAGCATCCCCGAACTCACCATTTACTCTCTTTCTCCAAACCCACCCCCTTCCAACATTCTCTATCTTATTAAATGAGCATCTCCTTCTGGTTGTCCAGGCTAGACACCATCTGGAGGTGGCGTAGCATTGATTTGGGGGTGTAGCGTGGTGGATAGGAAGGTGGGCCCTGTAGCCAGACTACCTGGGCTCAATTCCAGCTTAGCCACCAGCTGTGGGGTGAGTTACTTAACTCTTCTAAGCCTCAATTTCCCCATCAGCAAAATGGGAGTGATAACTGCATCTATCATATGTTTGTTGTGATGATTAAAAAGATGATTTTTAATTTCCATTAAAATCAAATTTGAGGATTAAAAGAAACAAGTTGTGTGAAGCTCTCAGCACTGTGCTCGGCCTATAGAAAGTTATTAACATCTTGCTTCAGAAAAGTCAACAGCTTCTTTAAAAATTAGTGGCTTTGATGTTAGGATGCACCAAACTTTGAGAAATAATTTAAAATCAAAGTATCAAATGATATTTTCTCAATCCTGCTACTTTGTGGAACATTGTACTGGACACTACATATAACATGCTAAATAAATAATGCCAGGTCCTACAAAGACTTAAAGGCATATGAACTAACCCAACATAAAATAAAGCCATAAATTAAGCATTCATATCAGCATTAAGAAAAATCTAGAATTCTTTAGTATGCATGCTTCAAAATTCCTGAAACTTATCTATGATGGACACACAGGGAAAGAGGAAAGTGGTGGATGATACTTAAGGCAACCAACAGCTCTGATTTGCCTGGGACTGGCCCCATTTTAGCACAGAAAGTCCCACACCCTCAGTCCTGGTCAACCCAGTATGGTTGGTCACCCTAACACGCTGTAAGTCTAACTTTGTCTTGGTTATTGAGCGTTTGAGTTAGAAGTGAACTTAGAGATCACCCTTCCAGGTCATTCTACTGTGTCTTTTTTTTTTTTTTTTAATAATTTTATTTATTTATTTTTCTCCCCAAAGCCCCAGTAGATAGTTGTATGTCATAGCTGCACCTCCTTCTAGTTGCTGTATGTGGGACGCGGCCACAGCGTGGCCAGAGAAGCGGTGCATCGATGCGCGCCCGGGATCTGAACCCGGGCCACCAGCAGAGGAGCTCACCCACTTAACCGCTGAGCCACGGGGCCGGCACCTACTGTGTCTTTTTTACGTAGCCTGTATAAGATGATCATATAAGGCCACCCCCTGCACTTTGATGCCATTCAAGCTGAGGAAGCGTATAGGAACAGTAGGCAGGAGGTGCCTCTCCTGCAGGATTCTGCGAGGCTTGGCCATAACATCACAAGGAATCAACAGCAGCGTGTTACCATTTATAAAGCACTTCCATGTGTGGCCAGTCCTTAGAGCCTCACAGACCTGGAAGGTGGACCAGAAACCACTGCCGTGGATGGCAGCTGGGATTCAGGGGGGACTCACAGCATAAGCCCACAAATATAGCCAGTGTCCTCAGACCAGTGCCTATCCCACTACACTGTACTGCATCTGTCATCAAAAATTATCATTGATCCAAGAAAGGAAACTCCTCTCATGGCCTCCCCTGAGACCTGGCATGGGGGCCCCTCCAGGAAGGCATGACATGGAAAGAGGGGAAGATCACCTATCAGGGGTATTGTCCCAAGACAAAAGATGCCCTAAGCTTGGCACGAGGTTGCATGAGGGGACGCTGAGGGCCTTCCTCCTTCTAGGGTCCTGCCGTCCATGACAACAGAGACAAACAGGCAGTTCCAACAACCCAGGAGGGCCTTATCCCACCAGAGGAGAGACCCTCAGGAAATACAACCAGATGGAGAAATTCTAGAAGACTCTGCCCTCCAGTTTTTAGCCAAGGCCCTACCCAACGCTTTAATCTTCTTCACTGTCTTCTCTGTGTTGTTGGTCACAGTCACAGTCACAGGAATGGGTTCCCCATGGAAATAGATCTGAAAAAGTTGGCAGATAAATCAGAAAAGGGGAACATGGTGTGGTGCTATCTTTAACCTCACGGCTTTCTAAATTCGTCTCAGTCCTTTAACTAGAATAAAAGTGGCTGAATTCCCATACTTTCAAGGAAGATAAAGTGATAGCAACAGATTTCCCTTAGAGAAGTGTCTGAACACATTTTGCCCCATCTGTGGGATGCTGAGGAGGGTAATGGTGACCAATGTGGAGTGGAGCAAGGGTGCTCCTGCCCGAATGTCCGAGTCCTGAGAGTCACGGCCGAGTTAGCCGTGGGGTCTTGAGTGGAATCATGAGGTTATTTGGACAGGATGAGTGAAATGAAAGGAAATCAGTGGGGAAGCCTAGTGGTAGAGCTCTCCTCAGCAGGGATTCTTGTGTGATCTAGGCCCAGGTGGGTGTGCCCTTATACACACACACATGTGCACAGAGTATATGTTAGGTTCTTGCCAACATGTGTGCACGACTCTTGGTGACCAGAGGGGCCAGAAACAGCCTCGGCCAGGGGTTCTTCACCTTTCTGTGCCCTGGCACACCTAATAGATGATATTATAGGTGACATGGCCACCCCCTCATGGTGACTGTGAAACTTGAATTTTCCAGGGAAGTAAACAATCCACTGGTGCCACACTAGTAAATGAGGCCCAAGGGGGCAGACAGGGGGCAAGCCCAGGGTGGGGGTATGTGAAAACCACCCCTGCTCTCTCCCCAAGTCGGTTGGGACTGACAGAGTGGAATGCAAGCCAGTTTGACCCTATTCTAAGGGTCACCTTTACTAGCTCCAAATTACGAAAAAAAGCCGATCATTCCCATACGTTGGTGCTTGAACTATCCCGAGAAACAAGACTGCTTGCAACACACCCAGAGCAGGGAGGGCCCCGGGGCCTGTCCCCAGGCCTGCTCCCACATGGGGCCCAGCGACGGCCGGTGAGTTACCTCTTTGCTGAGGGAGACTGCGAGGTGCAGGGGCTTGTCGGACATGAAGAACTGCCAGGCGGCCTCAGCTCGGGGCTGGGGACCCATCTTGGGCGGCGCGTGCTGTACTTTACGGATCAGCAAACTCACGGAGCTCCTGCGGACGAGAAGTCACTGACAGTCCTGAGATCATCACCCGGGCCTCTTCAGGATGGCCTTCCAGGTCCCCTCCCCATTCTCATGTTGGGATTGTTCAGGAATGCTCCCAATGGACACTGGATGAACCAGAAGAGGGATCAGACGCTGTTCTGGGGGAGGGAACTGAGAAGCTGGTTTCTGGTCCTTTCTCAGCCATTTCACTGGCTGGGTGGCGTGGGGCCGGTCAGCTCTCCCGAGGGTCACTCCCACCCTCGGTTAGGACCCTGGCTTGGCCTCCTCTGGGGTGAAGCTGATGTGGGAACGTGTCATGTGCCTACGTGACAGGCTTCAAAGCTCCCCACAAATGTGATGCACTAATATTGCTATTTATTATTGTGAGCCTCGTTGGGTGTGTGTGTTGAGGATAAGGAGAGAGTGTTGAGGGCACAATTGGAAACCTTGTTCAGGCACAAGAAGAACACTGGACGCCAGGGGCAGGGAGGACGGGAGGAACGGGAGTTACGGCCTAATGGTGGAGAGTTTGTTTTGGGGTGATGAATGCGTTTTGGGTATAGGTTGGGGTAGAGATGGTGGATAGTGGGGTAACTATGGTTATACAACATGGTGAATATACTTCACGCCACTGAACTGTACAACTGAAGGTGGTTAAAATGGTAAACTTCATGTTATGTATATTTTACCACAATAAAGGAATTATGAAGGAAGAAGAAAACTAAAGAAAGAAGGAATCTGGGAGCTTTTGGGGGCTTACATGAGCCCTTGAGGTTGCTAACTCCTCTGTTGTTATTTTCTTTTGTTTTTTTTCCCCAATCGATCAGCCATTGACCCCCACCCATGTGTAGCCGGTTCATCCTTTCTGCCCCAACCTGGGAAGGCTCCGTGACTCGGGCCGTGGGCCCTGTGGGAAGAGTGAGGGGTGACTTCTTATCCCCCACCCCTCGTCCCCCGGAACCCCTCACCTATTCCCACAATACACTCTTACTTCTTGGGAGTTTTGTCTTCTTCGCCATCTGTGATGTCTGTGGCAAATGCTTTGACCTCGAAGTCGACCCCACAGCTCTGCAGGGGGCAAGAGAGCAGACAGGCCTGCGGTCAGCACCTTCCTCTGTGGGGGCTCGGACGGCGTCACACCTCACTCGGGGGATGTTATGTGGCACCTCCTCTTGTGTCTTACCCACATCCTTTTAGGGTCGCACCATTAAGATGAGATTTTGAAGTGTACTAGTAATGACATAATGACATTAGCACAAGGAGAGTGTCTTGGGCCCAAAGCCCCCAGAGGAAGGGGACTCAGCCCACTGGACGTCTCTGCAGAGGGAGACTCACGCATCCTGGCTGGTCCTCGCCCCCCACCACCTCGCATGGCGTCCAGCACCCCCCCATCTAGTTGTCCTTCTCAGATGTGACCCTGCGTGTACATTAATGACATCCCACGGCCCACAGCAGGGGGCCAGACATAGGTGCTCACAGGGCCAGCAGGGGGGTCTGCCAACACCCTGACCCCAGCAGGCAGCTGCTGTTCAGCTGCAGCCAAGCGTAGCCAGGCGGGAATGGGGACCCAGTGCTGGCAGCTCCTCCAACTTTTGAAAAGAAGCTGGAAATGGAATTTGGAGTAAAGGCTCCTGATTTTTAAATTAACTAAATTAAAAATGCATCTGCCTGCACCTTCAGCCCTCAGCCCCGGTGTGGGAATTCCTCCCTAACCTCGCTCTTCCCTGCACGTTAGCACGCGCGGGGCAGGGCACAGAGGCCGGCATGGGCCCTTCACCAATGGCCTGCGGGAAAAAGAGGAACAGGCAAAAGCGCGTGAAGTCAGTTGCGTCGACGGTGGCGTATAAGCCACAGTTTCACTGGTTCTGCAACCGTGGAATCGTGGCAATTCTAAAATCCAGGCTGAGATAGATACACATCATTAAGAAGCCCGGCATTGCTTGGCCACGTGACCTCTCTGCTCGGCTCCCCTCCCTCGCTTCCACTCCCACTTTGTGCCGCTCCCTGCATAACCATGCCCTGTCACCCATCTACCCTGAGCACAAGCTATTCCTTCTTCCTGAAACGCCTGACACGTCTCTCTCTCTTTGAATAGCTGTCGAACTCCTATGTACTCTCCAGGCCCCAGCTCAAAGGTCTCCCCAGCTGTGAGGCCCTGAGGCTCCCAGGCGTGCAGAGGCTCTGATCCTGGCCTCCCCAGGCTCAGCTCATACCCCCTTTCCCAAGCCACCTGCTGCGCTGGTACCTCCTCTCTTAGGACAGAGGAAAGGGGGGCACTTCTTTTGGCCAGCGCAGTGGCCCCTACTCTGATTTAGTGACCTCATCCTCCTCCATCGTGGCAGCCCATACGCCTGTTTTCCTGGACCAGTGGTTTTAAAATGTTTCAGGCCACCGTCCACGGGAAGAAGTAGTTTATAACGAGGCCCAGTAAACAGACACGTGTGAAAGTACTCTCACGAAATAACCCTCGGCTTTGCTGGGTGTGACTCTGTCTGAGATTTCCCATCCTATTCTGCTTCGTGCCACTCCGTTTTTCCCATGGAAAAACCATTTCTGGTCCACTACACTGACTTCACAAACCACTAAGGAGGCAGGACCGCTGCACTGAAAATCCCTGCCCTGGACGTGTCACTGTCTGTCACTGCACCCCCGTAGACCTGCCACTCTCTGGCCGCACTTTGCATCTTTTTAGTTTCCTCCTTCATGAATCCCAGACACCGACGGCACTTAGGGCCTGGGTCCTAGCGCCTTTCTCTCTCTCCTCCTGTCCTCACTGCCCTCCTTCCTTGCTCACAGCGTCTGGTCCACCACGGTCACTCCTCTTTTACGCACACTCAGACCCTTTTCCTTTCTCTGCGTTCGGAGCTCATGCTTGGCCAACTCAACCAACCCCACTCTCAGCACAGTGGCCACAGGGATCCTTTGGAAACCTGAGTCAGAACCTACAGTTCAGAGCCCACCAGCGGTTCCATCTCACTCAGAAAAAGTCCAAGTCCCCCATCGGTCTACAAGGCCCTTCACTACCCTGCCGCACCTCCTCACACCTCTGTGACCTGCCTCCACCACCTCACCCCTGCTCCTCCCGCTCCAGCACGCAGCCTCCTTGCTGCCGCGGAACACAGCACGCGTGGTGTTCCCACTGCCTGGAAGGCTCTGCCTGAGGATGGAATGGCTTCTCCTTCACCCTCCTAGAGAGGCCCTCTTTAAACATCCAGAACACGCACCCCGTCAGACTCTCTGTTTGCCTCTCACAAGCCTTTTGTTCTCCACGGCGCCTCCCGTCCTGCGACGTGCCCTGTACTTATTCGCTATTTGTTTTGTGCCTGCTGCTCTCCACTAACCTGTAAGACCCACAAGGGGAGGGACCCCAGTATTTTGTTCACAGGGCTGCTCCTGGTTAATACTTGCTGAAGACAAGTGGAAGGTTCGTTACACTGTTTCCCTACTTTTGTGTATGTTTGAAATGTTCCATGATAAAAGGCTATTTTGAAAAGTCTTTTGAAAGAATGAATAAATCCACGGCGCTTCTTCTGGAACTAACCTTCCCAATATCTTGTGGAGCTGGCTGCAACATCACTGAGCAGGGTAAGTAGTCAGGAAACTGGAAAGAAACAAAAAAGCATCTCTTTCAGAAGGGGTTATTCCACGGGAAATATATGTTCATTGCACAAAAATCGGAAAATGAAGGGGCTGGCCCTGTGGCTTAGCGGTTAAGTGTGTGTGCTCCGCTACTGGCGGCCCGGGTCGGATCCCGGGCGTGCACCAATGCACTGCTTGTCCGGCCATGCTGAGGCCGCGTCTCACATACAGCAACTAGAAGGGTGTGCAACTACGACATACAACTATCTCCTGGGGATTCGGGGAGAAAAAGGAGGAGGATTGGCCATAGATGTTAGCTCAGAGCCAGTCTTCCTCAGCAAAAAGGGGGGGGGTTGGCCATAGATGTTAGCTCAGAGCTGGTCTTCCTCAGCAAAAAAAGAGGAGGATTGGCATGGATGTTAGCTCAGGGCTGATCTTCCTCCCAAAAAAAAAAAAAAAATTGGAAAATGAAGATGAGGAGCAAGCAAAAAGAAAAACGTTCACCTGTATTCCCAAGACCGGGAGTAACATTAACACAGCCATCCAACGGTGTCTTATGTGCACACACACACACAAATACGTATGTGTACGTAAGTGTGTTACAGAAATGGGACCAAATGATGCACATGTCCTGTCGTCTGCTTTGCTCACGGCACCAATCCTAACCCTACTCAGAATGCATTATGACCATGTTTCCACACCACAAAATGGAGTTCTGCACCGTCATTTTGAGGGTTTCTGTAACACCACATTTAATTTAGCCAGTCCCCGCTGTTGGCTGGCCCTTCATTAAATAGTCTTTTTTTTTTAATCTTATAAACAATGCTGCAATAAAAATTCTCCTTCATCCACCTTAGTACAGTTTTATCCAATTAATTCCATAGGCTACCCTGCTAGAAAGTGACTTGTCAAGTCAAAATCACATTCTCAAGTTGATATGATGTTGACATGTTGTCTCCAAATGTTATGTCACTTCAAACTCCCAGTACCAGTGCATGGGAGCACTTAGGTCCATAAAACTTTTTTTAAAGTGATTTAAAAAAAAAAATTATGGTAAAATATCCAAAACATAAAACTTTTTTTTTTTCCCGGTGAGGAAGATCAGCCCTGAGCTAACACCCAATGCCAATCCTCCTCTTTTTGCTGAGGAAGATTAGCCCTGAGCTAACATCCGTGCCCATCCTCCTCTATTTTGTATATGGGACGCCGCCACAGCATGGCTTGATGAGCGGTGCGTTGGTCCACGCCCAGGATCTGAACCTGCAAACCTCGGGCTGCCAAAGCGGAGCATGCGAACCTAGCCACTACACCACCGGGCCGGCCCAAAAACTTACTATTTTAAGTGTACAGTTCAGTGGCATTAAGTACATTCACATTGTTCTGCAATAATCCCAACCATCCATCTCCAGAACATTTTCCTCATCTCAAACTGCAGCTCCATTAAACAATATCCCCTAATCCCCCCTTCCCCCAGCCCCTGGTAACCTCTACTGTACTTTCTGTCTCTATGACTCTGACTACTCTAGGTCCCTCACATAAGTGGAATCACACAGTATCTGTCCTTTTGTGTCTGGCTTCTTTTCCTTAACATGTTTTCATGGTTCATCCATGTTGTAGCATGTGTCAGAATTTCCTTCCTTTTTAAGGCTGAACCATATAACTTTGGAGGAGTCTATCATCTTAAGACACATAAACACACTAGATCAGAGGTGGCAGGAGCTTTCCCCACACGAAGTTCATGCCCAAGGCTCAGAGGCATGATGCTGGCACGTGGGCAGCCAGATTTCACCAGGGGAGACGCGGCCCTTGAGAGAGAGGAAGCGACTTCTCCACTGTGACCCACGGAGCTATAGACAAGGTATCTTATTTCACTAAGATCTCCTGCCCTAGGGAACTCTTTCTGGTTTAGAACTCCTCGGGGCCAACCGAGGGGCACTTCTGAGAACTTTCTTTTTATAGATGAGCAAGCAAAAAAATAACCCAGACACATGTAATTAGGTGGTCGGATGAAGGGAAATATTTAAACCGTAGGTTGAAACGGTGCCTTCAAAGGCTGAGTGGCTATTTTCAAGGACTTAAAAAAAGACAACCACAGCCTGTGCAATCTAGAATTTCCTCCGAGGGTGCAATCTGAAGGCCCACAAATGTGAAGTCATTACCGTGTCCTCTCTCCTTGGCTCCTGGTCACATTACAAGGTGCTGTGGGCAAAGGAGCTGGGGCGGGGGGTGATGGGGAGGGGGGTCACCCACCGTGAGCAGGAAGGGGTACGTGTTGCCCCCTAGCTTCTTGATCAGGCTCTCCTGCAGTTTCGTGTGGGCACCCGCGGCCCCCACAGGAGGGAACACCTGGAGCCGAGAGAAGTACAGGTCCCTCCGGAAGGTCAGGCCCATCACATCGATGTCTTCCTGGCCGTAGCGGAAGGCGCAGGTCAGAGACACATACACTGGAAGGCAGACAGAGAAGGGTGGGCTTGCCCCATCAGCATGATACTCCCTGTCTCGGACTAAGTGAGCACGGGACGACCACGGACACTGTCGGTCATGGCGGCCAACCTTTAGCATCTCCGGGGGGTGGGATTTGAGAACCATATGCCCAACGGGCCCACACACTTTTGGAGAACCAGCACCTTCCCCAGGGCTAGTGTTAATTGCTCCAGGGGAGCATGTCAGAGGACTGGGAGTTACCTTCCTTGAACCATGTTGTTTTGCCACCTGCCTCTACTGTTTGGTCCATCCTACCCTGAGCTAACATCCGTGCTAATCCTCCTCTTTTTGCTGAGGAAGATTGGCCCTGAGCTAACACCTGTGCCCATCTTCCTCTATTTTGTATGTGGGACGCTGCCAGAGCATGGCTTGATGGGTAGCGTGTAGGTCCGTGCCCAGGATTCTAACCTGTGAACCCCGGGCTGCCGAAGTGGAGTGCACAAACTTAACCACTACACCACCGGGCCGCCCCTGCCCCTCCCTCCTCTTAACCCACCAGCTCAGCGACCTCGGGAGATTTTTCCACAGTGTGAAGTCGCTTGGATTCTGAGCTCAGGATGCCTGAATGGAGTTGAGAGTGAAGGTAGGAAGCTGAGAAAAACAGTGCCAGGAGCAGAACAGATTTGTTTCAGAACTGGACGTGGGCCTGCGAGAGGAGCTAGAAGGTCCTAATGGACCAAGTGGACGGATGAAATCAAATCTGAGAAGGAATTCTTCTTCTCACATTGCTCGGACACTTATGAAGCATTCTCTGAATCAACTCCTCTGAGAATTCAGTTTGATTAAACAGGTGTAAATTGTGCCCCCAGTGGACCAGAAGAATTATATGAAACTACACGTTTTGAGGATGGACTGTTTGCAACTGTCTTTAACGTGGTAAATAAAACCACACGCAGCACATTATTCTTGAACGTAAAGCGTATCAGAAGAGGTCCCCCCACGTCCTTGGGAGTTGGTTGAGGATTTTGTCTGCCCCAAGGATAACCGCCCCTCCCTGCTAAGCTTAGAAGAGCCGCTGATCACTTGCCTATCCCTCATCCGATGTTTGCAAGAGGAAAGTGCCCAGAGGTGACCTGGTTTTACGCCTCCCTCTCCAGGCAGGGCTGTCCCTAAGAGCAGGTGCCCTCCTCTGGTGAGCCCGTGGGCTTTCAGGGCTCCAACCAGCCTCCTCCTGGGGCTTGAGAGGAGCGGGGCACCCAGGAGGAAGTCGGTGACAACAGACGGGGGCGATTTTCAGCCTCGATGCTGACAGCCCCACATCTGACATACTCCCGTGCACATCCAGTGTTAGGGACAACTCCTCTTGGTTGCTAGTAGCAACCACTCAAAAAGAAATATTTAGAACGGAACTGAGTCAGTGACATCATCATAAGGTTAACTCGAATCTGCTCTAATTTAGTTTCCAAACTGTTATTAGTACCAAATTACTTGCCACACACATCCCAACTGCCGGAGATCTTCAAGGGGGCTGTGATGCCGTGGTTCAGAACCACTGCAATAAACATAAAAATAAATTCTGCCTTCCAGCAGGCTCAATTTCCCCCTTTTCAGATAAACCCACCAAGGAGCCCTCTTGAGTTTTCCTCGGCACAGAACTACGTGACACAGGGGCCAGCACACAGTTGATGGAGCCCACAGACCGGGGCTCCCGGCTCTGTCTACTGTTCAGTTATCTTGCCACCCTGGACAGGTGGCTTCCCTGAGTCTTTGCCTTCATCTGAAAAATGGAGACAGTGAGCTCTGATGTGAAAAGGATCCATGACACGAGGATTATACCAGGGAGTGTGGGCAAAAGGGTCTGGCAGAGAATGGATGTGGAGGAGAGGGCCAGCTACTTCCCATGCCCCGTCCTCACAAATGCCTCCTTCCCATAGACCGTTCCACGGAGGGCAAGACGCCCCGCCTCACCTTTCTTCCCCTTCACCAGCTCGGGATCCACAAACACGACACCATCTACACCAAAGAGAGAGAACAATGAGGGTGGAGGAGATGAGAGGGACCGGAGGCCCTCTTTAAATGCATATATCTTTAATTGCACATGTAATCTACGTTCATTATAGGAAAGTTAGAGAGGGGAGTTAAGCAAAGAGAAAACAAAGTCACCCCAAATTTCCACTTCCCAGAGACACCCATTGTCAAGATACTGGGACAGAATTTTTTTTCAGATGTATATATACTTATATGAATGGTTTTACTAAAAAAATGAGATCCTACTATACATACTGTTCAGTTAACTGCTTTCTTCACTCAGCTATGTATTGCAAACATCTATTCATATACACACATACGCACACATATATAATATGTACTAATCATTTTAATGGCTACACATTGCTCCATTGAATGGATGTACCATAAATTATTTAATTAATCCCCTCTTATTAGGGTGTTTAGGTTGTTTCCAATTTTCCCCATTATAATTAACATTGCGATGAACATCCTTACAGACGAATCTTTATGCCTATCCATGGTAGAGTGGATTTGGCTTTTGATAACATAGTGCTAAATGACCTTCCAGAAAAGGTTTTGTTGAGTGACAGTCTCATCCTCAGTGCCTAAAAATGTGTTTTTTACACTCTTTTTTTTTTTAAATAACTATTGGAGTTGAAAAAATTATAGATTCACAGGAAGCTGCAAAGATAGTACAGAGAGGTCCCCGTGTGTCCTTCATCCAGTTTCTTCCAATGGTGACATCTTATAATATAATTATAGTGCAATATGAGAACCAGGAAGTTGACATGGAAACAATGTGTGCATGGTTCTAAGTCATTTTGTCACATGCGGAGATTTGTGTCACCACCACTGCAATCTGCACACAGAACTGTTCCCTCACCATAAAGATCTCTCTCGGGCTATCCCTTTATAGTGGCATCCCTCCGCCATCCTCAGCCCCTGGCAACTACTAATCAGTTTTCCATTTCTATAATTTTGTCATCTTGAGAATGTTATATAAATGGAATGATACAGTATAAGGCCTTTTGAGATTGGCTTTTTCCATTCAGCATAACACCCTTGAGATCCAAAGCTGTTGTGTGTATCCACAGTTCACTCTTTTTCATTGCTGAGTAGTATTCCATGGTATGGATGGGGCATACACAGCTTCTTTAACCTTACTCACCTAGTGGGGGACATTGTGGTTCTTTCCAGTTCAGGGCTATTACAAATAAAGCTGCTATGAACAATCGTGTACAGATTTTTATGTGGATGTAAGCGTACATTTCTCTGGGATAAATGCCCAGGAACGCAATTGCTGGGTCATATGGTAAGTGTATGTTTAGTTTTCTAAGAAACTGCCAAACCATTTTCTAGAGTGGCTGTTCCATTTTACATTCCCACCAGCAATGGATGAGTGATCCAGTTTGTCTGCATCCTCACCAGCATTGGGGATTGCCACTATTTTTTATTTTAGCCATTCTGACAGGTGTATAACGATATTTCATCATGGTTTTAATCTGCATTTCTCTAATGGCTAATGATGATGAACATTTGCATTTTACGTGCTTATTTGCCATCCAGATATCTTCTTTGATGAAATGCCTCTTCATGTCTTTTGTCCATTTTCTAATTGGATTCTGCGTTTTTTTCTGTTGAGTTTTGAGTGTTTTTTGTATAGTCTAGAAATGAGACCTTTGTCTCCTCCACACTCTTTAAATTTGTTTCCAATCAGCCAGTGGCACCTCACTGATGTTTTAATTTTCAGTTCTTTGATTAGATTATTAGCAAAGCTGACTTTTAAAAATACAAAACTAGTTGTTGTCTGATGACTTAAAGGAAAACCAGCCTTAAAATCTTGCTCCAAACTCAACTTACCCACAGGTTCTACTTGGTCAACATGGTCTACATAGTCTCTCTTTCCCAGGTAGATGGTCACCTGTGGGAAGAACAGGTGTGGATTCTAAATGGCCAAAGAACACACTAAGCTAAGGCATTCATGTTAAAAATCAGCAACAAACAAAATATTTTGATGAGTCTTAAAAAGAGGAGCCACCTGGCTCTGCAACTTATCTATCATCTCCTCTCTCCCTGCTCAGCAGCAGGCAGAGATGATGGATTGCAGGCAAGGTGTGCTCTTCCCTCTGCCTTGTAGATCTGCTCCAAGGAATTCTTTCCACCCCTTTAGATGGTCTCTGTTCTCCCCACCTTTTCCCGTCAAGCCCAGGTGTGATATCAACCAGGTAAACTTGTTGAATTAACTGACAGTAGTGGAAAGTTATACCTACGCAAATGAGGCTCCTCACACATATTCGCATGTGAAACCTTTTATTTCTAGCTGTGAATGAAAGGTTTCCTTCCCCTGTTGTTAGAAGAATTTCCGAGCAAGAGGCGGGAGTTCTTTAGGAGTCCTACCAGGTGAGCTTCTGTACAGGTAAACCCGAACCCGTGCTCTGAGGAACAGGGTAGCGTGGAGCTGGGTGGGGAGATGCGGGGAGATGACCATTGTCTCAGCCCCAATCCTGTCCACTTCTACGTTCCCAGCAGCGAAGGTCTCTTTACCAACCCCCTTTGTGGGAGAGCCTGGGGTGGTTCACCACCACTTACCACTTTAACCCACAGGACTGTGAGTGCCTGGATGGTCAGAATTCTGTCTTTCATTCCTCTTTCAGCCATCATAGTACCTACTACACTATCTGATACGTAACGGGAATTCAATCAACATGTGCTAAGCGCACCAATGAGTGAGAGCATGCACCCTGGCTAGCCCCCTCCTTCCCTAAGCTTCTTAAATTCATATTTTTATGTCCATGAACACTCAAAATCATTTTTGTTGGCATTAAATCGTCTCCTATAATTATCTCTTCATATCAGGTGTTCTGGCGTGAATCCCTGTGTCTTCTGGGTCATTTCTATTCTTGGTGTTGAAACTCCTTAAGGACAGCACAGCCAGGGGACCGGGACGGGGCGGGGGTTGTTTGGATGGTGAGGGGATGCTTTCTGGGCAAAAAACTTCAGTGTATACAAAGCCCAGAGCCAAGAGAATGCTTCTGGAGCCGCCAATGGTCTCGTCAGCAGATGAATGGCCACCAAATGGGGACATAGGCTGACGCCAGAAAGGGTCTTATAGGACCTGGCTCTAAAGAATCTAGGAAGCCGTTGAAACTCTTGAAGCGAGATGACAGACCTGCAATTAAATAGCATTTAGAGTGCTAGTCATGTACTAGGTATGAAGTTAAGTGCTTTGACTACGTTATTTCATTTATCCTCACAACAAATCTATGAGATAGGAATTAAGCCCATTTTACGGAGGAGAACACTGAGACTTTGATCATGTAGCAGCAAAGTGCAGATGGATTGGTAAGGTGAGGCCAGTTAGGCAGCTGACGGTGGTTGGGAGGAGGGAGGACTGAAGAGTGAACGGGCGGGAAGAAGGTAGGTGGAGAGAGTGAGCACTTCTTTTTCAAGCTTTGGCTGTGAAGGAAGGAGAGCTCGAAAGGGGACAGGGTCAAGGAGTTTGTTATCGTTGTTTTTAAGTGACTTGTTTTTCTGCTCAGGGAAAGTACTGGTGGAGAGGGAGAGGCTGTAGATACAGCCCAGGAGGGAGGCTGAGGGTGGGGGACCCTAAGGAAGTGGTGAACCATGAGACCCAGGGTATAAGCAGCATGCACCTCGGATGTGAGCAAAGGCAGCTTTTCTTTCTGCTGCAGCTGGAACGGGAGGGAAACAGGTAGAGAAGCGAGGCTGAACGATGTGAGACTGCCGCCGATCTGCTGCTTGCCCACCCAGCAGCCACCAGCCCCCTCGTCCTGGGTAAAAGCCACCAATTGTGTTCAGGGTCCACCACCCCCCATGTGGTCATGTGCTAAGGAGGCCAGCCCCAGAGAATGGCTTTTGATTGGCTGGATCCAATTATAATCATTCAATTCCTTTGGCTTGGGATTGCCTTAGGGTGGGCATGTGACCCAGTTTTGACCAATGAGATTTGAGAGAAGCCTGCTGGAGGGCTGCTGGGAAAATATTTCCTCGCTCTTAAGAAGAGACCCCAGAAAGCAACAGCCTCTTCCTTCTTCTGGAAGGAAGTGACGCTGAGACAGGGGCTGGGGCAGCCCTCATTCCGCCAGCCAGAGGATGAAGCTCACAGAAGAGGGCGAGGTGGAGAGAATCACAAGAAATGGACCCTGAGCCCTGGCACACCAGGCCTGGAGCCATACAGAGGTTGTAGCTGAAATGATCCTAATATGTGAGACGTTCATTGATGAATTATTTTTCCCCCTATATACAAAAAATTCTAAATTTCTTGGTTCAAAGGATGTACATCTAGGTGTTTGGAAGAAAAAAGTGGGAAAATGATATGGCCCAGCAGGAGTGGTTTCTCTCCTCTTCTGCCAGGAGTCAAAATAAAGTGTGCTGGAAAGACACAAGTTGGGGAAGAGTTTGGAGGAAAAAGATTGAGGGGCACTCAACTTGTCACCCCAAAGAATCAGAGTACTTGATGAAAACGATGGAGTTCCTCAGCCAGGAGGGAAAAGGGCAGAAAGACAGTGCCTGTGCAAAGCCCAACCCCCTTGTGTGTCAGGACACGGATCAGAGAGCTTCTTTTGAGCCCAGAATAGGCTTCAGACGTCAGCTAGAAGAATGATCTAGATCCACACACTATCCAATACAGTAGCTACTAGTTATAGGTGGCTACTGGACACTTGAAATACAGCCATTCCAAATTGACATGTGTTATGTAAATGTAGAATACACACCAAATTCCAATGACTTAGAAAAAGGATGTAAAATATGTCATCAAAATTTTTTATATTGTTTACATGTTAAAATGATAGTTTTTTGGATGTATTGGGTTAAATAAAATATAGTATTTAAATGAATTCCACCTGTTTCTTCTTACTTTTTTACCACAGCTATTAGAAAATTTAGTAAGGTTACCTATGCAGCTTGCCTTGGACGGCACTGAGCTAGATTGTCGGCTCTTAAGAAGCCACTGAGTGGAGCAAGCAGACTACATCCGTGGAGGCTGTGGGGTGGACCCTCCACTGGGCTCCCATGCCAGGAAGTTCACGGGCACATCTAGAGCCTCTAGTGGGCCTTGATGGAGCCAACAGTGGTGTCATCTCTGCCAAGTACGCAGGTTGCCAGGATACCGGTGGCCATGCAGCCACAGCGCAGAATGATGGAAAGGGAGCAGCTGAGCAGTTCCCTTATCCAGTGGCCCTGAAGGCCCGGTGAGGTCTGAGAGCATGGCGGCTGGGGTAGGTGCACGGAGAGTAGAGTGGCATTGATCCAGCATTAGGGCTTTCCCCGGGCAAGTAGGTGACATGATAGATGAAGGGCCAAGTGAGTGACAGGTATTGACAAAACAGTGTTTGAAATGGTAAGTCATGGGTTCAAGGAAAAGAAGTAAAATTGGGAGTGAGGGGATGAGAAAATTGAGGGTCTCAGAATGAAAGTCATGATGAGATTGAAGAGAAGTTGTATTTCTGAATTTACTCATTCATTTATGTCTCATTTGCTGTCCAACTCAGACAGGGATGGAAAACAGACACAGAGCTTCCCTCGACCTCACTGAGTCTTGGTGTTGATTGTGTCTATTCTAGAAAAAGCTCCTTTTTCTTTTTAAACAATAATTTCCATCAAGCTACTCACTTCTGTACCACTTACCGACTTGTCCCGGGACGTTTTCTTGAAGATAACACGGTTTGGTGTAGACCTACTTGTCTTCACGCTGGCTGCCATGTTAGCCGTCCCTGGCAGCTTCTTCCACCTTGGGACGCACGTCAGGTGTTAGAGGGCTGGGAAAAGGTAAAACGATCCTAAATATAAAGTCGAGAACCTTCTGGGTATGAAACCTACTCATGAGATGCTGTGCATCCATTGGACATTTCCTTCTATCTGCCTCAACATCCCTGTTTGATTAAATAAGGTCTTTGTCTGGTTTGTATTTTACTACAGTGCCCTTTTTGTTAAAAAAAATTTGTTTTATTTTTTTTGATAATCCCCAAACATTTCTTAGTGACCCTCACTGGGAAGTCCAGCTAGAAGGTTTTACTTTCTGACTAACCTTTGGTATTGTCACACTTGCCAGGATGAATTTAAAATTCTATCATGACGTCTTACAGCAATAAAATAGAAAAAGTTCCTGAGAACCACAATATAGCCACTTAACAAATATTATTTTTAAAATATATGAAATCCCCAAAAGTTCTGTCCAGCAATTCATACGCAGCAGTGCTTTCCTGTCCCTGCTCTCTCTTCCCATGCCCCAGCTTTCCAGACACTGAAGAGGCCACCTTAGCTGTCTGGAATTCAGTGCGCTCCGAGTTTCCTTAACAAGCAGCATCTCACGGAAACTACGCAGAAAAGGCAAAACCAGGACAGACTGACTCCACGAGTGCCTGTCCTCCCCTCTCGCTGTTCCCTGGGCCTGCCCCGAGTTTCTGAGACGTCTTGTGCGAGGGCGGGCACATACCTTGTGCAACCGGCCGGGATGGGCCCAGGAGGCAAGGAGAGGGTCTCTAACCTTCTGGGTGAGCAGCCAGCCCTGCTCTGTCTAACCAGATGACCCCAGCAAGGTCCTTGGCTGGTGTGCGTGGGGAATTTGTAGGGAATCTGGAGAAGGAGCCCAGCACCCAGGTCTCAATGTCCCAAAGCCAAATCCCATTTAAGGAGCAGAGTGGAAATTGGATTAGTGTTGAGATGGGTTAACTGGTAGCTTCAGCAGTTCTAAGCATTAACCAAGGGCCCCCAGCCTCCTTCCAGAAGGACCCACAGACGCAGGGGCCGCAAAGCTGGAGAGGAGGTGTGTAGGGAGGGACGCCAGCTAAATGAAAGCTACTTTTTCTCCTAACCCTCTTTGGGTTCTGGAAATAGACCGATTATCCCTTCTCTCCCAGTATCACTAGGACAGGGGATTTTCGAGTGCTCAACAAACTTAATTAAACTCAGCAGGCAGCTAATGCAATCTTGGGGGTGGGGAGAGAAACAGAAAGGTCAAGGAGAAATGCCAGCGTCAAGATGTACCCTGATGTTATGCAAGCCCAGCTAGACCGGTTCATCTCCTCCACCCGTGTCTTATTGACTACGTCATGAGTCCTGTCAATTTCCCCCCAGTGTCCCTGGAATCCATCTGCGTCTTGCCATCCCCAGCGCCTCCACCTGAGTCCACACCACTCCCAGAGCTTTCCTGGACCACGATGTCTCCTGTTGCTGACAGCATCCATCTCCACCCTCCAGGCCCTTCTCCGCACCGCAGCAGAGGGGCCTTCTGAGCCCTGATCTGTTACCCCTGCTATCTCCACTGCTCTCAAGACACGGCACACACCTTTACACCTCTACCTGCCTTTCCACATCGCCCCGTACCGCACTCCCACTGTTCTTTTTGTCTGGAAGAATCCTCTTCTCTCTTCACCTCGCTGACTCTGTTCACCCTTCAGACTTCGGCTCAGGGGAGCCCTCCTCAGCCTCCCGGACGTGGTTGGAGACACAGTTGCATTTGACGCTTGTGTGGGAGATTATTTGCCAGCCTCTCTTCCTTTACTTGACTCTAGGCTCCTTGAGGCCAGGACCCATGCTGTGTGGTCTCCCGCACCTGTGCATTCCTGGTGCCCAGAACAATAGCTGCTCCTGAGAACACTCACGGAATGAATGGATGGGACGCTGTGGCCACTAACAGAGTTACTAACACACTGGACTTGACCTGGTGTCTGGGAATGAAGCAAGTGTAAGCAGAAAGCCTGTTTGGGGTGTTAGCATCTATCAAAAACTCCAATGGGTTCCCACCTAAATCTGGAAAATGCCTGCAAGGCCCTGTGTGATCTGGCTCCCCTATGACCTCTGCCCTTGTTTCTCACCACCTCGTCCACTTTGCTCCAGTTCACTGGCCTCTTTGCTCTTCTTCAAACCTGCCTCAGGGCCTTTGATCTTACTGTTTCCTCTTCTGGAACACTCCTCCCACAGAGAGCCACTTGGCTCACTCCCTTACTTGCTCTGGGTTTTTACTTCAATGTCACCCTATCCATCATCCAACACTTCCTCTCTCCAACTTCTTATCACCATCTAACAAACAAGATAATTTACTTCATATCTCGTTTATCGTCTGTCCCTCCACCCCTCCGTTACCAGAATGTAAGTTCCAGGAGTGTCGAGATTTTTGACTGTTTTGTACTTATCCCATCTCCAGCCTGTAGAGTAGGGACCCCAATAGACTTTGAGCAAATCAATGAGTCACTGGATTGCAATAGTGTAATAGCTGGTAGTAGCTAAATTTGGGGAAAAATTTTTTTAATTTCTAAGGGAGAACCCCCCCCTTTTTTTTTCCACAGAGGAATGCCAGCTAATAAATGTAAAGAAATGACAGAATTAGAAAAACATCACTTGAAAAGCTCTGATGGCATTCATCTTGCCTTTTTATCTTCTGTATTTCTTTTTTTTTTTTTTTTTTTAAAGATTTTATTTATTCAGTTTTTTCCCCCCAAAGCCCCAGTAGATAGTTGTATGTCATAGGTTCACATCCTTCTAGTTGCTGTACGTGGGACTCGGCCTCACGTTGGACGGAGAAGTGGTGCCTCGGGGCGCTCCCGGGATCCCAACCCGGGCCGCCAGCATCAGAGCGCGCACACTTAACCGCTAAGCCACGGAGCCGGCCCAATCTTCTGTATTTCTGATGTTCTGACATCGGGGGCCTTGCTGCCCCAGGAGAGACTGCCCCTCCTAGGCTGGCCCTTTCCTAGGTAGTAAATGACAGCCTTTCTTATGCAAACTAACCAATCTGGAAGCCCAAACACCCCAACCACCCCCTTTCCTCCTTCCCTCCTTCATGGGGCTCTCACACTCTGAGCCGCTGCTGCCCTGCCCTCATGATCCAGGCCAGGGATCAGACGACTGGAGACAGCCCTACCCGCCAAAGCCCGCTGAAGTTATTTAAACTAGCCAATCATAAGCCTGCTTATCCTGCCCCCCCGTTTTTTCCTGTGGAAACCACAGAAAGACTCTTGCCATGTTTTCTCCTTGATCCCTCTGCCTCCTCACTGACACTGGTGCTTCCCCATGTGGCTCTGTGTGCCATGGACGGCCCCCTCCTTTTGGGAACCGTGAATGACAAACTACCTTTTCAATGGCAATTGTCTCTTGATCTGTTGGCCTCATCATACCTGAACAATAGTAAAACCCATGTTTTAAACACTGATGAAATTATTGACTCTGACAAGGATTATTCATTGGTGTCAAAACCATCAGGTGAAGAGTTGGTGGGGATAGGGCTGTCCCCATAGCACCAAGTGGTGCCATATGGATCCTGGGCTCATCATGAGGGAAGAACAGGGGACTAGGCAGTCTACATCTCAGCACCACCAATGGTGTCAACCAGATGTGATATGTCACCCTGAGTTACCTGGAATCCATCAAGCCTTTAGACATGACATCTAGCTTATGGGAAATACAGGGAATAGAGGAACAAGGTAAATGACCCCCCAAGAGAGCTACCAGACGAATCCAGAAAGCAGCTGGTGTCTTTCCTAAGACAATGTCATAAAAAAGGGATGTACTAGATTAAAAGACACTGAAGGGGGCTGGCCCTGTGGCTTGGCGTTTAAGTGCGCGCGCTGCGATGCTGGTGGCCCGGGTTCGGATCCCGGGTGCGCATCGAGGCACTACTTCTCCGTCCATCCTGAGGCCGAGTCCCACATACAGCAACTAGAAGGATGTGCAGCTATGGCATACAACTATCTACTGGGGCTTTGGGGGGAAAAAATAAAATAAATAAAATCTTTAAAAGACACTGAAGGGACTCAACATCCAGATGTCATGTTTGGTCCCAGGTTGCACAAACAATTGGACAAACAGGATGTACAGGACATTTTGGGTCCATTGGGAAAATCTGAATATGGTTTAGGTGATAGGTAAGATGAAATTACCGGAATAGGAAGGTACACATTGTGACTGAACAAAGAAGGTCAGAGGACGGTATGTGTAGCATGATCACGTTTTGCAAACACACACATATATATGCATGCACACACATGTATATTTATACATATATGCACATACACATATATGCATGTTTTCATACCCACCATATGCACAATCTGCAAGGATATGCACTTAGGAGCTAACATTGGTGGGAATGTTAGAATTTAATTGTTTAAAAAATTTTTTTTCTTGTCTGTAATTTAAAAATTTTCTCCAATAATCATTTACAGCTCCTATAACAGAAAAGTTACAACATAACATTATCGTAAGTTTAAAAGAATATCTAATTTTTCTCTTAAAAAACACAAAAATAGAGGAAGACAAATGCCTTCTCTTAGCGCCCCCTTCAGGGGGGCTGCCCCGAGCTGTGGCTGCAGGACCCGGGACCAGTGTGCAGCTGTGGGGGGTCCCGGGACCCCCGCTCTCTGGCAGCTTGTTAGCAGCAGGCCGCCAAGAGGGCGCAGAGGACAGATCTGTCGCTGTCCTGCCAACGCCTGGCAGGAGGGGGAATCTGGGGCTGGCCTGGGTGCCAGACCCCGCTCTTTTTGGAAATGTAGTCTCTGGTAGCCGCTCCCAACCACTGGTCTGTGATGAATTTTTCTCTGCTTGGTGGGGAAATGAGGAAAATAAGGACACTGGTGTGAGTTTTTTTCACAGAGCCAAATATAGTCAACATAAAGGATTGTCCTTTATGCTAAAGTTACGAGGTTCTCAATTTTTTGATATTAAAATGTCCTTCTTTCTCCCTATCTTTATTGAGGTACACTTTACATACTGCAAAATGTACCCATTTTAAGTTTACAGTTTGATGAGTTTAACCAC